CGCACCCCTCCTGCACCCCAACCCCCTGCCCAGAGCATCCGCCGAATACCGCACCCCTCCTGCACCCCAACCCCCTGCCCAGAGCTCCCGCCGAACCCTGCACCCCTCCTGCACCACAACCCCCTGCCCTGAGCTCCCGCCGCACCCCACACCCCTCCTGCACCCCAACTCCCTGCCCAGAACCCCCTGCCGCACTCCGCACCCCTCCCTGCACCACTGCCCTGAGCCCCTTCCCACACTGTGCACCCCCTCCTGCACCCCAACCCCCTTCTCTGAGCCTCCTCATGCACCCCTCCTTTGCCCCAGCCCCTTGCCCTGAGCCTCTTCCTGCACATCGCACCCCATCCCACACCCTACACTGCCTCCCGCACCCCAGCCCCCTGCCCCAGCCCTACATTCATGGTCCTGCATACAATTTCCCCACCCCGTTGTGGCCCTCAGGCCAAAGAGTTTGCCCACCCATGTCTTAAATCCAGTTCTTCTGACACAAACTGCATTTACTACTTCACTTCAACAGCAAATTATCTCCCTTCAATTATTTTTGCATCTCTGTAGTCATTTATTTTGTTTTTGTAGGGTGCTGTAAAAAGACAAGCCTTGTATGCCTGCAGTACTTGCACCCCACCAGGAGAAGAACCAGCAGGAATCTGTTTAGCCTGCAGTTATGAATGTCATGGCACGCACAAGTTATTTGAACTATATACAAAAAGGTAAAGCTTTTTTAGAGAAGGGAGATATCAGAGTAATTTCTGAGACACTTCTTTTTCTTTGTCATATTGTGAAGAAGTAAAGCATCACACCAAAAAGTAGTATGTGCCTTTATGCTAAGTGCCCATCTTCTTAGAGATGTTAATCTGTGATGTGGAAAACGATTGTTGATCGCAGAGGCAGAAATGGCACTGAAGAAGTACACAGTACATTTGGGTCCTTTCATTAAAGCAATTACTACATGGGTTTGGAGGGAGTGGATTTCAGGAAAAAACAACAACATTGATCTCAAAAAACTTATTTTCAAAGTACAGATTGTGCTCCTCTGTTAAATTATTAAGTATTCTTGCTCACATGTTTTATAAGCACTTGTATTCATTGTAAAAACTTTCTAAATATTAAGGCCCAACACATCCATCTGAATCAAGTAAAATACGTAGTGTGCACAGTGCTAATCATTGGCATGCAGCCACCTCTGGGGTAGAATGTAATGGCTGTTCAACAAAGCACAGCACTACTACCCAACCATGTAGGTTAAATGAAGAAAAATATTTGAATATATTAAGTGAAGATTATCATCAGAATATATTGAAACTGAATCTTTGGTAGGCAGATGAATTGCCCAAAGGAGAATTTTCCCAGAGCACCCCAACTAATACCCCTGTTAATTCAAACATTTCAGTGCGATCTTGAATGATCGTAAGTGGGAAGGAGTTCAGTTGTATATCTCATCCAAAAGACAGTATCTCCAGTAGCACAGGCTCTCATGACATCCAACTAACTTAGGCCCCAGTCTTGCAAACACTAAAACATGTGCTTGCCTTTATGCATGTGAGTAGTTACAGCAGCAACAATTAGATCTTCCATTGAGGTTTCCCAACCAAATACTGATGTAACTCAACACTGCTGAGCTGAGATCTGACAGGATCACAGCATGAGATGGTATGGCTTCAGGACAGTCTAGCCAATTTTCACATATGTTTTTGTTTAAACAGCTTGTGAGAGCATTTCATGGTTCTAAATAAGGAGCACTTATAAGAATGAGACATTATTTTAAGACAGCATAAACAATCTGAACTATTATGTCTCTTTCTTTCCAGAAACTTCCGCTGTGACTGTGGAAACAGCAAATTCAAAAATTTGCAGTGCAAGCTATTTCCAGTAAGTTTAGACACTAATCTTTATATTGTCAAGATAGCATGTGGATCATTTCTTAGGAAGTTTGAATAGGACGAGAATTGTCTTCAGGTTATACAATCTCTCAATAAATGTTCATGTTTTTTTTACCAGTTTGTACATTAAAACATATATCCTATTTCCCTTCTAGGAAAAGGGAAAAGTGAATTCAGGCAATAAGTATAATCACAACTTCTATGGATTATACTGTGTTTGTAAAAGACCGTATCCTGATCCTGAAGATGAGGTAAGAAATGCACAATCAGTAATAATACTATGGATAAAGTGCACAGACTTTTTTTCTACATAGAATGTTGATAAATGCAAAGTAATGCACATTGGAAAACATAATCCCAACTATACATAAAAATGATGGGGTCTAAATTAGCTGTTACCACTCAAGAAAGAGATCTTGGAGTCACTGTGGATAGTTCTCTGAAAACATCCACTCAAAAAAGCGAACAGAATGTTGGGAATTTGAGAAAGGGATAGATAATAAGACAGAAAATATCATATTGCCTCTGTATAAATTCATGGTATGCCCACATCTTGAATACTGCGTGCAGATGTGGTTGCCCTGTCTCAAAAAAGATATATTGGAATTGGAAAAGGTTCAGAAAAGGGCAACAAAAATTATTGGGATATGGAACGGCTTCCATATGAGGGGCGATTAATAAGACTGGGACTTTTCAGCTTGGAAAAGAGACGACTAAGGGGGGATATTATTGAGGTCTATAAAATCATGACTGGTGTGAAGAAAGTAAATAAGGTAGTGTTATTTACTCATAACACGAGAACTAGGGGTCACCAAATGAAATTAATAGGCAGAAGGTTTAAAACAAACAAAAGGAAGTATTTCTTCACACAACACACAGTCAACCTGTGGAACTCTACCAGAGGATGTTGTGAAGATCAAGACTGTAACAGGGTTCAAAATAGAACTAGATACATTCCTGGAGGACAGGTCCATCAATGGCTATTAGCCAGCATGGGCAGGGATGGGTGTCCCTAGCCTCTGATTGCCAGAAGCTGTGAATGAGCGATAGGGAATGGATCACTTGATGATTACCTGTTCTGTTCATTCCCTCTGGGGCACCTGGCATTGGCCATTGTCAGAAGACAGGATACTAGGCTAGATGGATTTTTGGTCTGACCCAGTATGGCCGTTCTTATGTAGAACTATGATCCTCAAATTCTTCCATAGAATGGACTCCATCTTAATAGAAAGAACAGGAGTACTTGTGTCACCTTAGAGACTAACAAATTTATTAGAGCATAAGCTTTCGTGGGCAACAGCCCACTTCTTCGGATGCATATAGAGTGAAACATATATTGAGGAGATATATATATATATATACACACACACACACACATACAGAGAGCATGAACGGGTGGGAGTTGTCTTACCAACTCTGAGAGGCCAATTAAGTAAGAGAAAAAAAACTTTTGAAGTGATAATCAAGATAGCCCAGTACAGACAATTTGATAAGAAGTGTGAGAATACTTACAAGGAGAGATAGATTCAATGTTTGTAATGGCTCAGCCATTCCCAGTCCTTATTCAATCCTGAGTTGATTGTGTCTAGTTTGCATATCAATTCCAGCTCAGCAGTCTCTCGTTGGAGTCTGTTTTTGAAGTTTTTCTGTTGTAAGATAGCCACCCGCAGGTCTGTCATTGAATGGCCAGACAGGTTAAAGTGTTCTCCCACTGGTTTTTGAGTATTATGATTCCTGATGTCAGATTTGTGTCCATTAATTCTTTTGCGTAGAGACTGTCCGGTTTGGCCAATGTACATGGCAGAGGGGCATTGCTGTCACATGATGGCATATATCACATTGGTAGATGTGCAAGTGAACGAGCCCCTGATGGTATGGCTGATGTGATTAGGCCCTATGAATGTACATTGGCCAAACCGGACAGACTAACACGGCTGCTACTCTGAAACCCATCTTAATAGAGAGATCTTACCTGCTGTGTTACTTTTGTTAATCATTTTATATAGTAGTCTGCATTTGCACAGTGTTTTAAGAGTACAGTGTGTTTTGCCTTGAAGATAGACAAGGAAGACGGGCAATAAATTAATGCTGTTTCCCTATTCAAAAACTTAAATGAAGGGCCAGTCCCCCATCAACAGATAAAATCATGCTTCGTTTTACCCCCACATCCTGATAAATTAATGCTGGGCAATTCCCTCAATACAGGTTTCAGAGTAGCAGCCGTGTTAGTCTGTATCCGCAAAAAGAACAGATATCTCCTCGATTATATGTTTCACTCAATATGCATCCGAAGAAGTGGGTTGTAGCCCACGAAAGCTTATGCTCTAATAAATTTGTTAGTCTCTAAGGTGCCACAAGTACTCCTGTTCTTTTTCCCTCAATACAGTGAGTCAGCTTGTGCATTAATCTTGGATTTCCAATTATTTTCTTATCATCATGTCCCAACTGTATTTGTTCACCTGAAAATTCAAAATAATAATAAAATACCCCTCCGATTATTAAGTAACAAAGCACAGTCTCTAAGAAGTGAATGATAAAAAACATCCCATATCAAAGTTCCCAGCACTGGTATTGTACATTATGAAGCAGTCATATCTGAATTAAAATTCACCACTTTACTCGACTGGCACATAACATTTCAGGGTTTTTTTTCTCTTCAAAATATTGGATTATAACTCGTCTGTCTCTCACCTCTTCAATGGGTAAGGAAAGTTACAATGTGTTTATAATATTTTGCTAAATATTCTGTATTTTTGAATAATATGAAATATTACTACAATATAATTGTATAAGAAATAGTGAATTCTTCTCACAGAGGGCATCTTGGGAATAGGCAATACCAAAATAGCAAATGCAGAAAAACAAACATCTGGTTTCTTGTTAGACCCATATGAATGTATAAATTAATATGACAAACACTATAATTTTGAAGTACAGTACAACATCAACTCTGCCAAGTTTTAGGGCATTTAGCACTTTATAATGAACGGGTAAATGGATTATTTAAAAACAACGTTTTAATAATAAACCAAATTGTCTTGTATTATGTTTGACAGAATTCTAAAGTTGAATAAGCAGGTCTAGCTCTCCTACTGCAAACCCGATATATAGTTATATAGTTTTTCCATATGGCGGGAAACTCTTGTTCCAAGTCAGGTTCCCAACCCAGTTCATAGAAAAGTACTGGTACCAAAATGGAGTTCAGTGTCATAAGCCCTTGCATGCTCCCGATGAGTCATTGCCCATAGCTGACTGAAGAGTCCACAGGTGGGGATAAGATCTTCCATTGTCTTTGTTGATTGGCCATTAGCACTGTCTAGCTTCTTCATTGTTGTACCTGAAAGGCTAGTTGTGAGTTTTTCTAACTTCACATCTTTGAGTAACACATAAATAGCAAAACTTCTTAACTTCATATACAATGATAGCACATACAATGATAGCACATACAATCCAATGAGATATTAATGTTTAGCAGATCAAGACTTTTAGAATGATACCTTTCAAGGCATACTTTGTACAAAGCATATCATAATTACATCACAATGGTAAATTTGGGGTGCAGAATGTCACAGAGAGCATATCTGGCGCTAATGGAACAATAATCTTGTTAGACAATTGGGAATCTCTAGCCAGAATATAACAAATTACAAGTGCTTCAAAACTTTGGCTGGTGAGGCGGTAAATATTTATAATGGCCATGCAATTTAAGTGTCTCACTGTGGAAAGTGATTCACTTGTATATTGTTTAGAATACATGGCACTTAAAGGCCTGTGAGAAACTTTGAAGGTTGATATTATTGCTAATAATATAACCATTCTTGTAGATCCCAGATGAAATGATCCAATGCATAGTTTGTGAAGACTGGTTCCATGGAAGGGTAAGGATATGTATTTAAGAAAATTGTCATCTTGCCTGGAAATAGGCTAAAATTAGTGTTTTCCTTAGGGAAAATCTTACTTGGAAAGGTAGGTAGGGATCTTTTGAGAACCAGGGCAAGAGTTTTCAGATTAGCTCTTTTCAGGCTGTACAAAAAACCCTAAATCTTTATTCTTTCATGCTGGCAGTCCTCATAATGAACTAGTACCCCAAATGGAGAGGACCTCTACTTTATTCAAGGTTGCTCTTAATGTATATACTAGTCCTAATAAGTGACTATAGACATCTAAAACTTTAATGTTTTATGGAAGACTGTTCTGAATGATAGCGTTTCCCATTGGAATTGGAGAAGAAGGTTATTGAGCACACCATTATCAACTGTATCATGATCTGTGGTGAATGGCAGCTCATTTGATGGGACATTAACTTAGAGCCATATTTATTTTGGGTAGGAGGGAACAAACTGCACAGTCAGTGCCTGATTAGGAACTTTAGGGAAGATTTTTCACGGCAAATGGGGAAGGCACCCAATTACCATTGAAAGGAAATGGGAGTTGGGTGCCTAGGTCACATTGTTTCCTTTGAAAATCACCTGCTTTATGCAGGGTTGGGGGTTCAGCTCATCATGTCGCTAAGGGTAGATTGTGAAATTCCAACCAGACCGAAGCAAGTAGAATGGCTGAAGTCCTGGAACAAAGACATGAAATAGGAATATTGTTGGTATAGTATACCTTTCATTAATTATAGACTTTCTGATTCAGATAAATTATAGGATTATTTTTTCCTAAATGTTTGTATTAGATATTAAGTATTTTTGATGAATATTCTAGCTTTAACTATAAAAATTGGTCAAATTTGTCAAAAGAAAATGGAAGCAATTTATTTTAATCATCTTGATGTTTCTCACCAGTTTGTTTGAAGACAGTTTAGATTTTGTATCTAACTCTTTTCACATTGGTCCCATACTGAAGCTGAAGAAGGATAAAATGTTTTATAAGACTTGTTCAGCAAGGAGAGAATCTCAGATTACTAAGTAAGAGGGCTATTTAAAACTGCAGTGTGTGGTAGCTGTCCTATTAGGATAGACAAGGTTTGGAAATATCCATAAGTATTCCTGTTCTCTTGGCTGATAGAGTCCAGACTTAGAGAGGTTAATAATCTGGATACATTCCTTAAATTTGATTGGTCCTCTCTCATTCTCTAGCAGTATGGATGCTGGGTATGGAGGACAAACTGGGGATAATACACTGCTAATGGGAATTCTGAAAACATGAGGGAAGAGGTGGGCATGATGCTTGTTTTTCTGCCACTAAACCTAGAGAAAAAAACACTCTGCAGAATCCATTAATTTGCAACTAATATGTCTCTGTCATATGTTCCTATTTCTTCTTGATAGCACCTTGGGGCAGTTCCCCCTGAGAGTGGGGACTTCCATGAGATGGTATGCCAGGCCTGCATGAATTGCTGTGCTTTCCTTTGGGCGTATACTTCACAGTTAGCAGGTAAAATTAGGAGAGCTGTACTAATATTTCTATTCTATAAACCTCCCAAACATAGCTGATTTAACTCACGTAAGCCTATCCAAGTGGAAGACAGATATTTGCTGACAGGGCTGAAGAAATTGTGTTACTACTTAGACAAAGTTTCAGAATAGCAGCCATGTTAGTCTGTATCCACAAAAAGAACGCGGAGTACTTGTGGCACCTTAGAGACTAACAAATTTATTTGAACATAAGCTTTCGTGGGCTACAGCCCACTTCTTTGGATGCATAGAATGGAACACACAGAAAGAGGATATTTATACATACAGAGAACATGAAAAGGTGGGAGTAGCCATATCAACTGTAAGAGGCCAATCAATGGTATGGCTACTCCCACCTTTTCAT